CGGTAGTGTATTCCAACTTAGGTTGGGCGTTTGTGTATTGTTAGTTGTAATGTGTTAGTTAAGTTTTTTCACCTGAAGACGGGATCAGATTCCAGATCCCGAAACGTTGTGTATTGTTTTTTTTTACATTCGTGATGGAAAATGTCCGCAATAAACCTTTGAACAACATTAACTCACCATCACCAACAATGAACTTCAAACAAAGAATTTGGATTGATCGCAGTCGAGCGGAGGTCAGTTCAAACATGAAGTGATACTGAAACTCAAGCTTTGTAAATATACAGGGCTGCAAATGACGTCCAACGGAAATCGAAAATCTTCTTTATGCCTTGTGTTACCAGCTGTTTGAAGTTGGTTACAGGACATACTATAGACCAATTAATTAATGGTCTATTGTCTGCGGTTACAGTTTTGAATGAAGTTGTCTTGTCAATTGCAGGACAGGTTTTAGTTTTGTTGTTTTTAACGTTTGAATAAATTCTAGTATATTTAACCATTCTTCTCAAGGTAAGATCTCAAAATATAGTTTACCTTTGAATCTGCACTAAAATATTTTTACTATCCTATTTGCTATAGAACACGGTTTTTAGTTATAGATATAATAGTACTTATAGTTTTACAATGTTACTTTTTATTTTTTTTTTTTTCAGCAATATGTAAGCGTAAAATAAATCGCTTTTAAAAACGTATCATTAAACTATTAAATTATATGTAAAAAAGGCAATTTGTTCTCATATTAAATAAACATTTCAGTTAACTAAAAAAGTTGTGTATGCGAGATAAAAAGACAGAAAACACTAAACTAACATGATAAGTAACTACAACTCAATAAACATTCATTTATTCCATTACTTTAAAATTTTATGGATAGAGGTATTTGTACGTTTGTTATTTTTGGACATGTTCTCACATTTGTATATGAGAATAAAATTATTCCTAAATCCTTATATTTTAGGATTAAAATATTATACTATATTTAGATCATGTTTAAAAGGCTTGGAGTATGTAAATGACGTCGTATGTTATTGGACGATCATCACCTCACGATCATCATCTCCAGGAAAGGTATAATTTTTACAGCCGAACAACCAATAACAAAGTTACAGTATGTCACAGAACACTTTCATGCTACTTTACTTGTACTTATCTTTTTCTAGCTGAACTAATTCGGGAGATGATACCAGTCCGACAAATCCAAACAAATTCAGTTTCAATTTACGAGCAAAAAATCATAAAAACTTGAAATTCGTCGTGAAATTTATGGTATAAATCGATGTATTCTGTCAATTTAATTTTTAGTGCAATTTACTATTTGTTAACATTTTTTTTATTTGTTAACGAATTCACGAATAAAACAGCCAGTTTTTTTTATTTGTTACGAATTTGTAAGTGTGTAATCAAGTAATGTGTCACTTTCTGCAAAACAGCCACACTCGTCGTTTTATGAAACATTTCAAACACTAAAGCATTCGTTTTCCTGTCCAATCTTTGCTCTATATTTCTCTCTCCCGTTTGCACAAGATATACGTAAACAGTTTTTACTGCATTTTATAAACTGTTTTGAACCGTAAAACATTCGTTGAATAAACACATCGAGATGAACATCTCGGTTGATGTCGACGACGACGGAGCAAATGTTTGTAGTCTTCTCCCACTGTTTGCTTCCGTCTGGCAAATTGAGTCAACCTACACTTGAAATCACCATCCCAATCTGCACTCGCGAATTAGTTCACGACGTTCTAAATGTGTATGTTTCGTTGTATCTCAGTATACCTAGTGAGGTGCTGTTGTATGTCAACAAATAGTAAATTTGAATATATCTTGAATGTTGTGTTGATCACTTTAAAGCTGGCGCTGTCAATACCATTTCGTGTTACTATTCGTTCGTCTTATAATGAGTAAAAACTCTTCTTCTCTATTGTTCAGTTTCCTGTGAACTATAATTGAACAACACGTTTTAACAACAACATTTCATAAAATTGTTAATTATATTACATTTGAATAGGAAGTGCGATGTTCAAAATACTTTGTAAACATGTTATTACTTCCCTAAAAGTCTTAGGGTAAATCTATGATCTACTTTTGATTACGTATATTAATTTGAAACATTAGCTTCTGTTGGGGTCAGCTCTTAAGGCCAGAAATTCGAGAAAAACATGTGTGAATATAAATATTAACCACTTCCTCTTCTATTATAAAAATGTTTAAGCCCATTAAATATTTGTCATTATGTTATAAATTACGTAATAACAAAATATTGGATAGTATGATTTTTTTAATTTAAAGTAAAGTTATAAAATAAACGAACTTTGTTTTAGGCCAGAAATTGACAAAATTTCAGATTACTGCTAACTACTATACTCATGAACTATAATACAGATGTAGAAATACTACTGTATAGTGGTGGGCATAACTAAAATTGCCCATTTGAAATTCGAGTAAAAGAACTTGAATTTTATTTAACTTATTATATTTTTTAGTTTTATGTAGAATGGCCATATGCTAAGTGTTTTACAAGAGTGAGATGAGTCCATTAATCCTTCGCATTATTAACTTTTAAGAACACAGTCTATTTACCTTTGTATGTTTGAGGCCCGAGCTGTAGTGAAAGATACCAAGTGGTGTTGAGTTTGAGGGTAAAGTCGTGAACGTCGATTAACTTATCGGACACGCTATTCAGATAATCTGGTCTAGCAGCAGCTAGCAGTCATTGCGTTACTCCGATCAAATCCGATGCGATCAGAGCCGGTGTAAACGGATTACCCGCCTAAACGTGGCGTGTTCGTTACGTTCCCGCGTAAAATACCGCCCTCAATGTATAGGGAATTAATAACTGTCCAAACGTTATATAATAATAACAATTAATTATTCAATGTAGGTGAATTCTACGAGGCATATTTTTTTAACTGTTATGGACATTTGAATCACATGAAATCATAACGATTTCAATGAGCTTTTATGGATTTTATTTGTGTTCCGGGAAATTGAAATATTTGAATACAACCACTAGTTTAATTATCCAACAAGTTGAAACTGTTACTCAACTAAACATTAGTACAGTATCATAATGACGATAAAATTACTTGTTTATCAAATGGAAACGCTTGCACGAAGAGAATTTTAATTCGGACCTCCCGCCCACTTCGGGTACTTAATTTCTACTTCAAGGGGTGAGATATTTGCTCCGAACTTTCCTTGTTCTAAACATGTTGTAATATGCTGCATCCAACTTGTTTTTAACATAAAAATGGATGTAACGTTAAAATTAATCACCACGCTGAATTAGTTTTCACACAAAACACTGTGTGAAAAATCTATATTGCTATTTAAGTTAGCTAAATGTTTTAAAAAACATTTCAAACGTTGTTTTAAATATAAAATAGAAATGTGTATATAGCACATGTAAAGTATGAACCGCACAGTTATAACTACTAATTGTTAATTAATTATTGTATGCAACCGTAAGAGGCAACACGTGCAAGTTAGCATACTATTTTACATTACTAGTACCTCTGTACTTGATCCTTCAAGCGATACTTTAGGTAGGCCTACTTTAAGAAACAGTTATTTATATGATTATGTTACAATTAAGGTTAATGATAATTGTACGAGTATATAAGGTTAAAGAAAAAATAAATAATATCTGTTAAAAATGGATGTATTAACAACTCGATGATCGGAAAGAGACGGGTCCAGTTTATAACCATCAAAAAGATAATGGTTCTTCTCAGTATTACACTAACGACTAGCTAATTACTTAGATAAATCCTTTAAACTTATAAAATAGAGTCAAATAAAACCAAATGTGCAAACGCAAATCGCGTCCAATCTGTGTAGGAAAGAATGTAAACAGACGAAATTTTCAATTAGGAAACACCGTGTTTAGTATGAAATTCGTTGAATGGTCAACGCGATTAACCAGATACTAGACAAGGCCTCTATTGTGTGGAATTCAATGGACAATGGCGCATCGTGGTACTGGATTGATTCTTAACTCCTCAGCACATTGCACGGCTCACGGCTATAGTGGACTTGACTGATAATCTTCTATTTTACCTGCTTCAATGGAAATTCCAACGTATATTGAGTACCGTCCAATAAGTTAGTACTTTACCGATGTATAGTGTTAGTTTAGTTGTTTTTAGGTTTCCCCATTTTCTACCCCCAAAACATAAAAATATTTAATGTCTTTCTGAATTACATTTAAAGTTTAGAGAACGCAAAATTTTATTATATTGAAGATTTGCTGCACATCTCCTTGCTACTGAGAACATTTCAAAAAACTGAAAATGTAAAAGTACTATGTTATTCTTATAGAGAATAAATAAAATTATGTAGTTTTATTGTGAACAAATTTGAAAAAAAATATTTCACACTAAGCAATTACATAAAACTGTATTAATGTTTAGTTGAGTAATAGTTTCAACTTGGCTAATTAAACTAGAGGTTGGATTCAAATATTTCAATTTCCTGGAACACAAATAAAATCCTTAAAAGCCCATAATACTTCCTTACATAAAAGGCTTCCCCTGGTACTAAGGAACACAACGAAAAAAGAATCATCCAATTCGGTGCACTCGTTCTTGAGTTATGGAATACCAAAAAGTTTTTAAAAGAGGGGTTCATTTTTATTTATATAAATTTAGTAAAAGGTATGATGAAGAAGGTGAATGAGGTGTAATGGATGGTTGTGGTATATTTATAGTATACTTCTCATTTTGTATGTATTTTGCATGTACATTGTACTTATTCAATGACTGGTTGATCTGCCTTGTTCCGTTCACAGCCCACCCCCTCAGCGCCTTTTCTGCTGAATGTATTTTTTCAGCTAGACAAAAACAACGAAAAAGAAATTGCGATCGAAGTGAGCAAGAGTTGAGACTAAATTTAATTGTTTATTTACAGTTGCAGTTTGATGAGCACCCCAGGCTAGGCCTGCGCCCCGTGCTCCTCCCTGCTGGATATAAGAGCTCCTCCCTCAACGTTCGGTCTTGTTACAGGTGTGGTGAGCGAGCATGTCCTAGTTAGCTGAGACTATGCGCATTGTACCTTCCCAGCCCATTGTTGCGGTAAGAGCCACCTAATATTATCAACTGTGTTTATTTTTGTTGTAGAGCATCAAAAAACGTAAAAATTATTGTTAAAATATTCGTTACCTCGAATTATCCTTTGAAGTTGTCGCACACGACATATTTCAATGTGTATCCTCTCATCTTCATGTGAATAGTGCAGGAGTATACACCAGAAGCTGTGGAAGTCGCCACGAAACATGTAGTGTATGACTACTGCAAAAGATGGTTTGATGTAACGAATATTGTATTTGCATATAAATTGAGTTCAAGGAGAAGGAAATCAATTCTGAGTAAACATAGGTCGGTTCAACCAAAATGTTATCAATATATGAGAATGAGTAAGTAATACTTTAAAAAATATGAACATATGTAAATACCTGATTAGGATGAACGCAGATAGCACTCATAAACTAGTTTAAGCAAAATGGTTAGTACCATCTCATCAAAATTATTGGTAAACCATTTGACAATGAGTAAGCAACACTTTTTACGATAATGGTTCTGTATATTCGTGCTTATAGTCATCCAAATCAAATAACGAAAACCCCTTTGAAAACCATAAATTTGCACTGCGAACCATAACGAAAAACATATTATTCGTCGGTTGCGCTTCATAACATGTTTATCTATAGGAATATGCTAAAATCGATGCAAATTAATAGAGTAAAAAGATGAGCTTATATTTACTCAATTTTGACAGTTGCGTTTGTAATACAATACTACCTATATGTAATACAAAATTTCATGGTTTTTCTTTACTGTAAGCATATATTTACTACGAATTTACTAGTAAAAAACAGCCCACGTTAAGGTATCAAAATATTCAAAATTTGTAATCCATTCATTAACTTGATTGATAATTAATTCTACGGCTAGTCTTTAACAAACCAATGCTACATTGATAAAGAAATATGAATGAACTAGAAGAACTAAAATATTAACTCATTCATGCATAGCAATCAATAAATTTAAATATAAATAGTGTGAAAAATAAAAATGAAAAATATATTACTATGTACATAAATGAAACTAAATATTGTTCAAACATTGGTTATTTAACCCTCCAAAACTGTCTGGGTAGCCGAGTGGTTTTAGTGCTCGCCTTCAAATCTCAAGGTCACTGGTTCGATTCCTAGCGAGATTGTTAATGGACTCAATTAATGTTATTTGTCACTGGATTGTCTATTAATGTTGCTATCTAACAAAAAGGTAGACGTTAGATAGTAACAAGACCAGGGTTGGAACCGTTCCCTTTCAAAACGTGACAATGGCGTGGAAAGAAAAAAAAAATTCGTACATTATCTTTCGTTTAGTTAGTGTTTGGTAAAACAACGCGCAAGCTCTTACTAACAATAATAATTCAACAGAATAGTAAAGTGACTGAATACGAAACGCGTCAAATAAACTGCTATTCCTTTTGCATCCGTAATTTACATGACAAACTCGCAGGGACAAATTCTGATAATGAAATCCCTCTAGACTCGTGACAAAAAGAACAAACGAATATAATTTGCTCAACGCTTACAACTAACTACAAGGCTACTAATTACTTCAGGGGAGGGACGGTGTTGACTGTAGGAAACTCTTTTACACTGCGTCAAAGTATAAGCTTCAAGCGGGCTGTAATGTAATATGACATCAGACAAGTTTTCATACAGTTTTTTTCCTATACTGCAACTTTTGCAAAAAGAAATTTTACAGCGTGTAAAATTTGCATATATGGTGTATTTAGTCATCAGACAAAGTTTTATACAAATTAACATCAACATCAATGTTAGAAAAACAATTCATTGTCTTTTGTATACTGAAGTGGCCATCCCAATGGACAGCTTTGACCAAAAATTTCAAATAGGGCATATTTTGACTTTTTCCTTTAATGTTTGGTACTGCTCTATTTTATTTTACACCAAAGATTATCTATTATGTTGTATGATGGTTTAAAAAAATCATCAGATTTTTTAAATATAAATTAACATCCCCATCAATGTTAGATAGACAATTCATCGTATTTTGTACTAAAATCCAAGTGTGTAGCCCCTGAGCTGATTGACGCAATGTAAGACTAAATTACTTACGTAATCCCGTCACATCTCAATCAAATATGTATTCAGGCCATTTTTCGGTGTTAAAACACCATCGTCATCTTCAGGAACATATGTAGAGTTGATCAGTAGTTAACATGTTGTAACGTGTACTTCTGACGATGTTAACTACTGATCAACTCTACATATGTACCTGAAGCTGACCCTACAAACAGAGGAAACTGTGGTACATTTCAAAATTGAACCATTAGAGGGCCACTTTCAAAATGGCCGTGGTCCTAACGAATTAACGATTGCAGTTCAGTTTTATATTTAACTATATTAACTTACAATCTGTAACACTAAAACAATTTATTAAAAACCTTGATTTTCACTAAAACGTTAAAAGATATATTTTAAAAGTAAATATAAATATGTAATGTGCCCGTTCTTTGCTCGGATTAGAGATGTAATGATAATTTCATGTAGTATCAACATTTTACTTTTTCTGTTCAATACTTCAGGGTATGGCTTGAAGTGAAACATCTTGCTTCTGTTACTTGAATAATTGTTAAATTTAAGCTATGTTTCTTCTCTGTTTTTTGGCTAGGTTTCTACGGTAAAATATGTTTATCTAGATTCAAGTAACACATCCACAAAGGGGATAGAAAAATTCCGGGACACCCTGATGATGGATATTACTTGTAAAGTAATTAGACGGTTACTACGTCATGTTCAAATTAGAACTTGAAATATATCTGCCTGCTGTATCTTAATGCTTGGCTAGCTAAATAAATGTTTAATACCAATATTGTGTATCCGTTTTTTTATCGTAGGAATCGTAATGCGGGGTTTTCTATTTTCCAACAATACAAATAACATTTTACAATATTTTTGGAAGCGCAAAGAGACGCTATTATTCTCCACAGTCAATACAGCCAGCAAACAAAACCTTTCAAACAGAGCTCAAACGCTGTTCTGCGATGATATATGCTGATCGTATTGTGTTATAAATCTTATTGTACTGCATTATTAAACTGAGCTTGCTTGATTCGGTAAAGCATTATGCGCGCTGTTCATACCCTATCGCTCATTTGGTTGTTTTATATTATTTTGTCAAAAGTAGTATAAACTTTATAGACTTGTTTTATTTTGTAAGATAAGTGTGAAATAATTGTGTATGGATGATTTTAGACCTCAAAGGTTTTGTGACGATAAACTCTGGGAGTTTTAAGTTTATATTCTGGGGAATGTGATTAATTCAAATTATTCAGTAAACTTAATAAAACGCACTTTTCAGTTGACGTAGGATTATGGTTAATTATAAGTCTTATCGTTTGGCTATATATTTAGTATATGGTATTAATTTAATTTTCCAGGTAGCTATTTCTTCTCAATATTGAGAAGAAATAGCTGATAGGAATAGGAACTTTTTATACACCCCCTGAATTAAAGGACCTAGAATATTTATAGGCCTATGTGTTTCCCAGAATATTTATACCTACTAGAAACGATGATCAGCTATTCTTTGTCAAACGTCATTATCCAAACCCCCCCCCCCTTCATTATCCAAGCGATAAAATTCTAAGTTTCTTTGGAGATATCAAAGCGGAAGTATCACGATCATGAAATAAATTGCCAAAAATGAGTTCAAGTAACAAATAAGTCTCGATACTGAAATAATAAAAAATATAATTTAGTGCTTGATTGGAATTGTCGACTATTTTACAAGAATCACTCGAAGCCTTACAAAAAATCCAATTTGCAAACATCCCGTTTTAATTTAATTAATGAAAACGCAATTCCATTAGTTGACAAACGTAACATTTTTGTCCCGGTTAATTTACAGGTGATGGACAAAACACCACCGCTGTGTCAAACAAACAGTGATGTTGATCCCCGATATTGTGGGCCGCTGCAGATATTGTGATATTGTGATATTGTTTGTTATATTTACAGCCCTGGGTGCCGCCCTTGCATATCTGAATCGTTATTGGGAGACGTTTTCCTGGACTCCTTCCAAAAATAACTAACTGCAATCAATTCTGTCTGGGTTGTTGAATAGAGTGGTTTGTTTGTTTGGTACACTGAGGTGGAAATAAAGTTATAAGATTTGTTTTGAGGTAAGATTTCTATGGATTATATAGATTTTTCAATATAGTTTTACCTTTTTTGAGGCAGGCTGATATAGTGAGTGCGCTCGCTGCAGAGGCACGCGTTCAAATCCCTCCAAACACCAATGAGCCAATCTTGAGTGGAAGCTCCACAACAACGTTAAAACACAAAAGGCATTATACTACATATGTCTTTGTATAACACATTTACGTTAATATAAAGCTTATTTTAGTGCACTTATGAATGGTTGAATGCAACTCTATTCTGTATTTCCCAAATCGCAAATAATGAAACTTTTAGAAGCTATTTAAAAGTTCTAAATATAATGTTAAGTATATTCTCTGTATGCTACTTTTCAATAGTCTTCTTACTGTGTACTTGCTGAATTTACAACGTCCAAAATTGCATGTTTTACATTTATGTAATAAGGTTTCTTGATAAGGGAAATAAACATTCGTAGATGGAGTTGTAGGTGATTTTCAAATAACCAACTAGTCAGTAAAATAACTTGGAGTTTTCGGCATTCTTTCCCGAATTCAAAATTACACATTTTCTTGTATTGTTAACGTTGACACACTGAAGTTAACTCTTATTGAGGTTTGCTAAATCTGACTTAACATTACTCTGAATATAGATAAATGATTAATATTGTTTTGCATTGAAATTATTAGAAAAAATAATGATGCACCGATTTGGTATTTTTATTTAATGTAGGCTATGTAATATTTAGTCGTTAGATGTAGCCATTAGTTTCTGATTATTATAAATGTTACCGAAATAACTTTTGTTTTAGTATTTTATAAAAAACAAATCCTCTATAATTATATTTTTTACTTATATTAGGAATAACTATTTTGAAAT